TTGCTCTGTTTTGTGGTCACATGGCTCGAATAATCTTATGTGGCATAGAAAATGTCTAGAAGTTTTTCTAGCTGTAGAAACCATTCTAAACAATTTATATTCTATATTATATTATTTATTCGATTTTATCTCTCTTCTCCAACCAATTACTATTTTACACATGAGATATGATACCACAATTAACATTAACCATTGGAGACAATTTTTTTAATTTCCCTTCTCCATGTCATACAACACAAAATGGACAATGTTCCATTGGAGATGCTCTAAGATTCACTCTTGGCTAAATTTCTCAACTTTCGATCTTGTCCGTGGGATCAACATCTTCGTCCACCAAGCTACGATCACCTCTCGAGATGATATTCAACAAGCTCTTAGTGGCTTGACCAACAGCACGGGAAGTCTTCTTTGCGGCCCCTGCCACCATCGGTTGTAGTGAGATGATTGGCAAGCTAGCTCTTTCCTGAATCATGGCTATAAATTTTTTGTTTTTATTTTTTTAATCACATAAAGGTGCTGCTATTATGGTCCAAATTTGTAGAAAAATAGTTAAAATTTCAAGAGACTACTTTCATCTTTTCATGTAATTATCAAGATAAAAAGAAGTGAATGTCTTCTTACTCATTGTTTGTTGGTGAGCAAGTGAACCTATTTGCCGGATTCCGGCTTCTGCTGCCTGCACAGCTTGAGCAGATTTGTTCACTCCATCTGCTATTTCATGGCTGAAAACAAATAGAATATATTATTAATATCAAGAAATATGGAAGTATTAATATCATAAGGCATGTGAACGATAAATGTAAACTATTTAGAGATGTGGCTGAATTAAATAATTGAGGAAGCTGGAGGCCAGCAGCTAAATCCACAGGCAACGTCACTATATCTACAAAGCTCATTCTGAGCTTCTGCGTGAGTCCATCAGCATGTTACAATCATACGTACTATTTGAACAAGACTTACTTAAACAATACACTCCCAACATTGTTCAATATTTTAATCAAATGTTACATATCAAAACGATTTATAATCTTCATAATATTCGTAAAATTTGATTGAGCCTGGTTATAAGTTAATTAGAATTGAACTACTCATATTTAGACTGTAAAGAAATTTGGATGTAAAGCAATAAATAAAAACATAGGTAGAGTTAAGTATTAATATTCGTTAGGTAAAACATTTCACAAAACAAAATGGTCACAAATACTTATAATAGCATTCATGTATCTACTTGTAAAAACTTCACCCATACTGTTGTTATTTCTAGTTTATGCACCTACAATGACGAATATTTTTTCTATTCCCAGGAATCTTCACTTAAACATATCAGTAATAGTTTGCTGATTGCAATCATTAAAACAGGTAACTTCTGTAATTTGAAATCAATTTTTATAAGGTTAATCTAAAAATGATTTTGCAATCCAAATCCTAGTTATTGAAATCTTTTGCAATCTTTTGCAACACATAACAAAAAAGCACTTCAGGAGGCAGAGACGATTTCTTTGAATTTCCTCAGGGAACATAGTGCCCCTTTGCAGTTTTTTCTGTTTCCTCATTGACATCAATCCAAAATGAACACTCTCCAGGACAATTCATCACCATAGGAAGTATATTATTTGTTTCCAATTGTAGAGTCAAGTGGACTGTTTAAACCAAGTGCAAACAAATAAATAACTTGAAATACCTTAAGTCACTTAATTCCAGAGTGAGATCACTGATTTCCATGCCAGAAAGCCTGATTGCAGCCATGGTACTAGGAAGCTCCTCGCGGGCAGTATCAGCTAATTTTGCAAGAGATATTGCTGCCCTTTGCATTGCCTAAACATTATAATGTTAAAAAACCAAAGCAATGTAGAAAAATACTGGCTACAATAAACCATACAAAAAATAAATAAAAAAACAACAACAACAACAACAACAAGCATGCCAACTCCTTCTCCATTTGAAGTACACTTCTACTATTTCAGATTCTCAACAAAAATGCTACTGTGAAGTTGCAAAGATGTATTTAACATCAACTGCCCAATATGCTGTAGATAAAGCACTGCTCTTAAGGTTCATTGATGCAAATCAACGAGCAAGAATCCAATATGAAGCCCTACTCAGTTAGATTCATTAAACGTGGAATGTAACAGCATTCTAAAGCATAACGAAAACGGAAATCAAAGAACACAAAACTCATTTTCAAATCCATCCTTTCATCCAGTTAGCTTCTGTAATGCCATTTTATTTTGCCCTCTCATCACATGCCTTAAAAACATAATCATAACTAAGAAACAGAAAATCAAAATTGTTAGTCCTCTAAGATAAGTTCACTTGCCATAAACATAAACCAGTGACACCCTAACCCACATAGTAGAAAAGAGAAAATTACACTTACAAACAATGTGGGTATAGCTGCAGCAACAAGGCTGGCGAATGCAACAGAAGTCTGCCCATCATAAATTTATCATTCATTTTTTTTTTTCAAAATCACAAAGGAAAAAAAAAACCTGGAATTAACAATGAATTTGTGAATCACATCGATAAAGGAGGAGAAGGAGCTATACCGTGCAAGCAATGAAGGCAAGGATCAAGAAAGCTTGATCGCTCAAACTCAATATAGGGGCCGAAGCTGGAATAAGAGGGCTTCTCACTTCAACATTGAGCGATTCAATTTCGGGCAGCGCGTTCGATATCTCGTCTTTGGTTGCGGAAGAATAATGGCACGACGCCGTACTACGGCCGGTATTCTCCAATGAACACGACAGTCTTAGACAGGAACGGCGTCGTACCGGTGGTCTGAGCCTCAACGCGAGGCAGAAGACGCGGGGAGAACTCGTGGAGAAAGCAGATGGTTTCGGCAGTAGTATCGGATGACGAGCGGAGGTGAGTACGCCGCCGGGAGGTTTCATGGCTAAAACCAGTGGGGATGGGCGGCGGCGGTTGATTACTGTGGAGGAGCAAACCAAGGAACTGATTTTGTTGCGGTAAGTACGACGCTGATATACGGTCTCCCCAAAATTTGTGGTATTTTGTCAAATTGGAGAACCGAGTTCTGAGTGTTGTTTTTGTAGGCCATATTCGACATCGAGGGTGGAATTAGATATTAGATATGTTCATTAACGACCTAAAGAGCGGTCCGATCGGATCAGGTGAATCGGTAGGTCGGTCAGATATCAGGGACACCGGAGGTCAATGAATCACCATATCGACGGTGATCGATGAGAACTCGTCAATATGTTGAGCTAGGGCTCTCGGCTATCCTAATGGAAACTCGACCTAGGGGTTTGCAGGTCGATGTGCCATAAGAGGTAGGCTTATTTACTGAAGGTTGGAATAACTTGGTTTGAGGGATATCGAGCTCGTAGCACTATTAGACCGCCTAATAAGATAGTCTAGTGTGAACACCGTACGTAATAGACAATGAAGAATATAATAATTAAACAAGAACACGTTAATAGGATCACATGACCTAATAGAATTGTGTAGTTTTTTCGGCAATCATGCGGTACAAACAGGTCGTTCGGACACTTGGGCAGCTTAGGGGTAACACCTCTATATAAAGAGGTGAGGTAGGCTTGAGTCGAGCATTGATTGAGGTGTTCGCGAGCCGATCAATTTGTTGCAGCAAAGAGGTGAGGTGAGCTTGAGTCGAGCATTGATTGAGGCGTTCTCGAGCCGATCGATTTGTTTGCAGCCTTCGTCAAATAAAATTTATATTTGGCCGACAGAGGACGTGGATCTATGTTGTAAATAGAAATGAAAATTAGGGAGGAAGAAAATAGTTGCAAAAAGACGAAAATTAACGTCTTGTATCAACTCTCGATTTCTATTAGGGAAAATTAATACGGTCTTTTTTTCTTTTTACCAAAAGAAAGATCAATAGTATTCTCACTTACTTTGTTTGGTGACTTAAATTCATGACCTATCGGTCATACGTGAAGCGTCTACCATCGTGTTGCACTTCGTTGTCGGAAAATTAATACGGTTTACATACTTATTATTACATATAGTAAGTCATAGGTAATTAATAGTTTACCTAGTTGTTAGTTATTCGCGCCACTTCCAAATTAAGTCAAATTCTAATTTGAGGGCATAAATCTATATATATATAATTACTGGCTAACAACATTTAATAAAACCTATTAAATTATACCTATGTGGCACTTTCCCGCCAAAACACATTTTGACTAAAAAAGGTATGTTTTTTGCTCTACCAATAACGTTTTTAATGTAACAGTAACGTTACCCAATTATCAATTTTTACTTAACTAATAAATTTGACAAGACACTTGAATTGGTATTAATTTTTGTCACTCTTTTTTAACTTCTCTATAAAAAACATTAATAAAGCAAAAGAAAAGGAAACTAATAATTCTATCAACAATCAACATTATTAAAACAAATCATGTACAAATCCATATAAATCCCATATATCATCAATATAAGAGAATTCCGCGCAGTCCGTTTTTCCTGCAAATGATGATAAAAAAATATTGATTGATCAACGAAATTCTTACTAAAAACAAGTTTTGGTAGTATAAACAAAATTCTTACTAAAAACAATAATTTTTTACTTTCAACTAAAAACATAGGTTGGCCGGCTATATAAGTCCTACTCCATTCATTACTACAAAAATGTATTAAAAAATCATCACATTAATATTAACATGATTCAGGCACAACAATAAACTACAACACAACAAAAGCTTTTTTTAACAGATATTAGCCTTTATCCATTTATTCCTAGAAAAATAAATACTTTCAATAAATTTTTTAACAAACAAACCACAATAATTAACGCATGATGTAGAGTGTTTGAAAGTGTAAGTGTACATGGAGTCCGCACAGAACTTGGCTTTGTTGCATATTGGGGTCACAGTTCATGTAAGAAAGTAAAATTAGTAAACCAAATAATAAATAAGAAATTACTAGCAACAAGTTTTGAGACAAATAAGAGATATTTATATTGGTCAGCAATGCATATAAAAGAAAAACAAGTTTTATTGAATACTCACAAATTCAAGTAGGCAAACTCAGTGCATCACTTGCAGTAAACTTCTTCTGCTCACGCAATATACTTTCAATAAATTTTTTAACAAACAAACCACAATAATTAACGCATAATGTAGAGTGTTTGAAAGTGTAAGTGTACATGGAGTCCGCACAGAACTTGGCTTTGTTGCATATTGGGGTCACAGTTCATGTAAGAAAGTAAAATTAGTAAACTAAAAAATAAATAAGAAATTACTAGCAACAAGTTTTGAGACAAATAAGAGATATTTATATTGGTCAGCAATGCATATAAAAGAAAATAAGTTTTATTGAATACTCACAAATTCAAGTAGGCAAACTCAGTGCATCACTTGCAGTAAACTTCTTCTGCTCATGCAATTTTGTCTTGCTTTGCTGTGTGATGTTTCCAAATAACAATATCCAACAATACAATCATGAAAAGTGGCTCGACAACAATAATCGATCTTCTTCTGACCGCAAAAAAATCAACTTTCAGGTGTTTTCCAAGTGGTTTGGCAACAAAAACCAACTTTTTCGACGATTTTGTGTTAAGAATCGATAAGAAAAATAATAAACAAAAAAAATATTCAAAATCTATAAAATCAATATTCATGAAATAATAAATGAAATAATGAATGTGGATAACAGATACTTTAGATCTGATATGTTTCGACCGATTTCATCGACTTTCATAGATTAGCAAGCGAATATTGAAAATCTGGTCGAATTTTTATGATCGATCTGCTCTTGAGTTGGAAAATTCATCTGGACGAACTTTTACTTAGTTTCGGATTATAGAACGGAAAATATGCCGATGAATCATATTTTATGTAATATTCTCGGCAAAATTTTGGTTCATAAGACGAGAGGAGATATGAGAGGTTTGCAGAGAAAATGAAAAATGAGAAATGAGGCGGACGAGGCGGTGGTTACGGGCAATGAAGCCTTAGGGTTTTTAGACCATCCGTTGACCGGGCCAATTTTTTCCTTGGGCTAAAATAATTTATTTGGACCCAATTTTTACTACACATAATATAGGCCTAAATTTTATTGGACCCATATGCTGAAGCCTATTTTAGGCTCAATCTGCTTGATAAATGGACCCGAAATTAAAGGCTGGTATGAACTTCTATTTTCGGATTTATTTTTTTGGTTTGGGCTGCAAAATATCATATTATGTGCAAAAAAATCTCAGCCCAATTATTCATTCCCAATATTTAGTGGCCTTTTTTTTTTCTTTTTCTTATTTATTTGAAACTAATTACTATGTTATTATCTACACAAATTTTGTTGATTTTTTTACTATGGATTTTTATAATTTTATGAATTTAAGCATGGACCATATTTTATTTTTTCGAACAATTGAAAACTTTAAATTTGTAATTATTAAATAAATAGTTGTTGTATATTATCTTAGTAAAAATAATTAATATTGTACAATTTAACTTCATACATTTATTATTGTAGGTACGTCATCTTCCGTGTCTATGGTAACACCAACGTGCCAAAAAACCAACATTCAATAATAATTCGCATCCAAACGTTCAAAATCCCGGTATTTCTAAATGTTTTGTTGCAATTTTTATATCATCGATTGTTTATGTGATTATGTGATTATAAGTGTAATGTTTATGCTTAAGTGATTATTAAATTGACTTATTTGTTCTTTCATGTTAGGTATTCCATTCCAGTACTCTCAGCGATCATCTCAAATAGATCATTAATTGAGTTCGGACACCCCTTGCAAGTGAGATGCTGGCTATGACTCTCTTCAGGATATTCATACTCCTGAATTTGTCGATGAGATTAAGTGCTCGGGACTTCTGACTCATAAATTGCATTAAAAGGTCGGCACTCCAGTGATGCTGCTCAGAAACATTGATCACTCAATGGGGTTGTGCAACGGTACTGTTGATCATCTATATTGTTGTCTGAATTTTGTGCTCAACATGTACCTGATTGGTTATTACTAAACTCAACAATCATGTCCTCGAATGCAGAATTTTAATCAGTGTCAGGACTGGTTATAAGGTTCTTATTCATAGACTCATAATCATACCATCCAATTTTCAATGAAAGCAGTTCCTACTCATGGTTTCCTATTCTATGACCATCAATACGAGTCAAGTGCAATCTTTGTCGCACGTCGGCTTACGATTGCAAAATCCTGTATATAGTCATGGGCAATTGCATGTGGCGCTTTCCAGAGTTATGAGTCGTAAGTGTTTGAAAATAATGATTTCTGGTGATGGACATTTTGATTTTAGAAAAACTACAAACGT